TTTCTTTGCACCATAAATTAAATAAATATTTATTTGCTTATCTGTATATGCATGCTATTGTATGCATCTACAGTTGCTAATATCTTGTTATTTAGTTTATATTCACTTGTGTGTGTGTGGAAATAGTAATGCCTTCACACTAAATAAGCTACACAAATAGTTAAATAGAAACATAGAAATAAAGTTCATATTTGTGTGCGTATTTTTTTTAAAATCTATGGTTTTATTTCAGAAAATTTAAATGTATACCCTTTAAAAATTTAGCTATGTGTGCTGTGATATTTTCATTTGTTCCTAGGTGGGCCATTGCTTAAAAAGGTTGAGAATGTCTGATGTAATAGAGAGCACATGTAACTTGAAGAGAAAATAATGACATAATCAAGTTCTTGACTTCCCTGCTGCCTTAAACAAAAGGTTAGGAAAGAAATCCACATCAATATTAAAAAGAGCAATAACAGTTCATGGACTTCAGGAAAATATTTCCTTGTGAAACTGTTTTACTTTTAAGAAAAAGGTTTTATAAATTTCAATTGATAGTACTGGCTGTTAAGTCAATGAATGCTGAATGTTTCCTTATGAGTAAACAGCTAATATTACTGTATAAAGTGCAATACAGTTTAGGGAACTTAAAGCACAAATGGTTTTCTATATGAAAGAAAATATTTATAAAAAAAATGAAATGGTAATATTAGCAGTTTATAAGAAAACTTTCAATATTCATTGACTGAGCAGCTAGTACAACTCAATTGACACTTTCCTCTCATGTTGTATCTATTCTCATCTGTAATAATAGTAATATAGGAAACTGTCAGCATTCATTGATCAATGAATGCTAACAGTTGACCACTTACATGCTAATACCCTTGGGAAAGGTATGAATCCTCTTCTTCTCCCCCCCAACTATGAGTAAATAGCATGACAGACTGGGTTCTATAGCCTTTGATGGCAACTAGTCTACTGCAGAAAGAAATAGCAACCTACTGCGGGGAAAAAATCTGCCTCATCAGTCATGTATCGAAAGATACATGATTGCCTAAGCGTGTATGACTATCATGCATGACACATAACTGAGTAGTTTATCAAAAAGAGGTAGAAGGCTAATAGGTTGATGGTTGGAAGAGTCAGGCGGTTCACCCAAGTTCTTAATGACTGGTATTGGGTCAGATCTTACAATATAGGTCACCCTAAGAATATTTCAGCACCCCTGTGTGTCGGTCTGTCTCTACGACATACATATATATATTTTTACACACACACACACACACAGAGATTAATTCAAACTTTAGGACTCCAAACAAGCTGCTGTGAATAATCTGCTGTAGATTTTTATTTAAATCTTATTAAAGATTATCCCCAGTGTAATACTTCTTAAATCATGAATATTATAAAAGAAAGAAAAAAAAAAAGAATTCACCTCAGCATGATTTGGCAGCTTATCTGAAAATTGAATGATACTTCATGGTGCCATTTCTTATTGTAGCGTTATTGTGTTTTAATTAAAAATCGAAAAATATTTGTTGTTTTTGCAAATTGAAATAATTTTTTCCCAGCCTAATGTTTCTCCTGATTATTATTTTAAAATTTTCAAGTCTGGAAAAGAAAAAATCATAAATGCATTAGAGAGTTTCTTTTTCTTTTATTCAATTTTGCCATCTTGATTTCTCATTCTCTTTGGTGACAGGAGTCATGATTTCTTATTCCTTGTTGGCATCACATTTTCTAATTTCCCAGTGTGCGTCACAATTCCTAGTTTCCCCCGGGCGTGCGTCGCAAATTCCTAGTCTTCCCCGGGTGTACATCATAATTTAGTAGATCTCTGAAGACTGTGATGCAAACTTCAGTGTTAATTCTAGAGAAATAGTGTTCATACTTTTTCCTTATAATAATTAGACTTAGTTTTCAAACTTGTACAAACTTGAATATTTTTCCTTTTGCTCTGCTGATTATTCTAAGTAAAATTATACCCTTTATATATTTGAGACATAAAGAACTTGCTGTTTACACGACGGGCAGGATTTATTTCAAAAAGAAAAAGACACATTAAAACTTTCATTCACTCTAATCATTGTATATACCGCAGATCCAAAACTCAGTTATAGAAATTAATTAGAAATTATTTAACAGAAGTTTATTGCAAATTGTATTGATATATAAATTAACTGGAAATTTTATTTTGAATTGTTTTACAATGAAAATGCATTGCAGCTTGTTTTAATATAAGCTGTTTAGGTAACATGATTTATTATACAAATGCATGCAAACTTTCATTCACTCTAATGGTTATACACAGTCTCACACCAAATTTCAGCAGTAGTGGGGAAAGATTAAAATAATCATATTTGTAATTTTTAAGCAAGGTTGTGTCTTTTTTATTTGAGTTTATTGATTTAATTAGTACGACTTAACATCTAAAGCTGCAGTCAATTTTCTGGATGACAAATTAAATATTCCAGGTGTTATAGAGTGAGTAATTGATACTTAAGCATTGAATTTAGTAACTTTTGACCTAAATAACATTTGAGTTTCAGCACTTAATCTATATGTTGTGTATAATAAATATATTATTGATAGTCTGAACTGAATACAATTATTACAGGTTTATCTTCACTAATCTGGCATCTTTGGAACCTGCAGGGTGATGGATGTTATTTTACTGACTTAGAGATGGTGACTTAATTTTTCTCTCCATGTCTTTGTCATAAACTGTAGCTGAGCCAATGCTTTATAAATTGCACAAGCTTTACATAGGCACACCACTATCAAGTTTTTTTCAGAAATTTTAACTTAGCTGTTATGGACAATTTATGATGTTTTTGCTTTACACTATGGTAAATACTTCTTATATTTATTGGAACCAAACAGTAAAGAACCACAAATGTTTATAGGCTTTTAAAAAGAACCTGTAAACATGAGTCCTGGTTAAGAAGAATCTGACCATTTTATAGAGTCACTTTTGGATACTTTTGATTCTGATAAATCCTACATTCTGTTACCTCTTTCCAATTTGCAACATGAACTGGTTTTAATTCATCTGGGACACCTGTAAAGGTTGTGGCTATAAAATAACTAGGTTCATTGTTTTTTGTCTCTCCATTCAAGGTAAGATAAATACAGTATATAAAATTGACAGATTTATTAAGAGCATATTTATTATTTACTGCAGACTTAATGGCAGTATTTATAAATCTGCTGTGCACTGATAGCAATGAATTTTTTTCTTTAAGGGTAACATTAAGATCTGTGGAGGAGTAAATCTGGCTCCTCATCCTGTCATGATCTTGGTTCTATAAATAATTTAGTTGGTTTGAATTCACCTCTGTCAATTTCTTAAACTTGGACAAATCTCTTATGGCTGGTCCCAATGTAATTCATGAATAAGTGTCTAGATCTTGAGTAAGTTTTTGAAGCTCTTGTTCTATCCTCAGTTTATTTAAAAAAAACAAAAAAAAACCAACAAAAAAACCTTAACCATCACAATGAACATGATGTCTCATTAATGACTTTGAAAATCATCATTTAAGTTAACCTATTTATGCTAGGGGAAAAGTTAAAATATTAAAGAGAAAACTGTGGCAGTGCAATGAATGTGCTTGAGAGGCCCTTAGATTTTTATAGTTTCTTTTTTTTTTTTTTTTTTTTATAAAGAACCTGTAAATATGAATCCTGGTAAAAACAAAAAAAAATCTGACCATTTTATGCTGAGTCACTTCTGGATATATGCAATTCTAATAAAACTTACATTCTGTTACCTCTTTCCAATTTGCTCCATTGAATAGTTTTAAAGAAGAGAAAATTAGCAGAGTGATACTGAGTCATCTCATAAAGGAAAAGAATAAATGGAGTGATTATGAGAGCGCTATTGGAGTGGTGGAAGGAATATTGTCTTTTCTGGTAATAGAATACTACTGCTATGAAATATGTAAAGAAATGTCAAGGTATCTTTTAACATTAATCATTATATTTAAAATATAAAATATGAAAAGTTAGAATTGCATCAGCTGATCAGGGATTTTTTTCTTTTTTATCTTTTTTGTTTCATGTATGATATTTAATAGCTTTTTGACTTTTCTATTTGTTTTATTGAAAAAAAGAAAGCGATCAGGGTTGTTTATTGTTGCGCAGACTACAGGAGGCTTTCCTTTTGCACATCTCATAGAAACGTGTGATAATACATAACATTTTTCAAGTATGTATAGCTTTTGCAAAAATACACTTCTAATTCTGAAAATGCAGATCTGGCCTTTGCTGTTTGTGGAAAGGGTATCATTTTTTTTTTTCTTTTTGTATAGCTTTTGTGACCAGTTTATATCCTGGCAACAGAAGTTGCTTCATTGCTTGTAAGCAGGTTTTGATATAATTACATTTTTTTTTCTCACTACGCTTCCATCTTTTTTCTCAACATGTTTTCCTCCCCACTTTTTATTTCCCCTTTTTTCCTCCCCACTTTTTCTTGTTGGGACCTGTTTGGTGAAGGAGATAGTTCTACTTTAAAGTTATAACACAGAAGAAACAATGAATTTTGGATTAGCATTTCTTAAGTTTATTTCTCTTTCTTTTCCTAACACTATTAGATATTTTGAAAATCACAATGCCTAAACTACAGAAGATCTTGTAATATTATTTGAATTTCTTAAACCAATCATTGTCAAATATTAATAGTTTACTGGGATTTCTTTCATATTTATTTCTGTTGCTTTGTATTACAATTCCCAGACCATTTTTCTAAAAGTGCCATGCTTTAGGAATAAAGAATGTATCACTTGTTAAAGGAGATTGCATTTGGACATAGAAATACCATTAATCTATTTTCTCTCTCTCATATTCACTTACATCCGCCACTGTTCATATCTTTAATAGGGAAAAATCTTATGTAGGGGATTATGGATTTTATAATTATAAAAGCTGATCACACTACTAACATAGTTACATAAATTAGTAATGAAATTCTTTGGAATAAACAATAAAGCTTTCTTTTATGCTTTCTTTCAGAGGACTGTTGCATGGCTTTTTCGCCAACAGAATCTCCTGTTTATGTAAGTATATCCTTTTGCATATTTTGTCCTTATGAGTGTCATCTGAATTCAGTTTCCATCCAGTCTTATTTATCTATATGTTACATGAAATTAGGATATGTTTTTTCTTTTGAAATTAAGTTCTTGTAGAATTAGATTTTTATTTAAAACCATGTCAAATGTTTTATCTACAAATTAGAAATGAAAATATTTTTTTAAAATACAAGGTGGTATTGAAAAAAATCTTAGTTTGACCCACTTTTCAAAATTTGACTAAATGATGAAAGATTTTGGGGTTAAGAACTTATCAGCACTCCCGTATGTAGAGGATTAATTAAAGGGGTGCTGAAAAAAAAATGAATCCAAGAAACCCTTCATCATTTTGTCAAATATTGAGAAGTGAGTCAGGCCAAGAATTTTTCAATACTACATTATTTTATGCTCACTATTAGAATCTACAAAGAAAAAATGTGCAAATTTTGACACAGATATGACAGTTGTCACAATACAATAAAAAAAAATCTTTTTGAATGAAGATTAAAATTAAATCCTCTGTTGGAGAGTTGCATGAAGACTACTCTCACTGCTCAGTTGATTATTTAATAAGTGAAGACATCGTGCATGAGACATCCTGAGACAGTAACCAGATTGGTTCAGTCCATACCAAAAGCAGTTCATTAAAATTTCTTCTACCATGTATGAATAGCATGTTCTTATTGCCATCAATTTTTTGACCAGCATATAACTGATTACTTATATCTGAGAAAGTTTTTTTTAATGCTGAACTATATTGAGTGGGCCTTAGTTACAATTTCTAGCAGAGCATGCACAATGTGTCTACAGTTTCAACAAGGCTACTATGCTCAAACTCTGTCATAATGATTTGTGACTTTCTGCTTCTGCAATTATTGATGTTCATTCACAAGGCCTGGATCAACCTGTGATATGGTTTTCATGTATTTCTAATGGTACTGCATACTGGGATCATCTCTCCAGACCGATATTATTTGATTCAAACATGGGTCTCATAGTTAGAATGTTAATATTCTAACTACTCAGCCACAGGCTCACTAACCAGTTTCCATTTGATCACCAAAGTTGAGCAACATCAAGCCTGGTCAGTATCTAGATGAGTGACTACTTGGAATACCAGTTGCTGTAAGCTTGGATGTGTGGGTGGTGTAATGCATATTGGCTTGGAATTTTTAATTGGAGAGCCAAATTCCAATTCCCATTGGGTTTGTTATATTCACTTATGTGCAAATACCCTTGGGAACAGTATGTGTTCACCTATTCTCTCCCCAGTTATGGGTTTAGTAAGACTTGTACCACTTAAACAATTGTTATCTAAAAAAAAAAAAAAAATAATGCATGCAAAATAAGATTTCTGCATTAAATAACTCATAGAGGTTGATATGCAACTAAACAAAACACCCAACCAACGAACATGTCCACTGAACAGTACAATATACTACTACTAACCAATTTTCAAAGTTTGTTGTTGGGTATAGGATGTCTTCAAAGTCAACAAAATATTTTTTGATTGTGAATGTCAAGAGGACAAAACTTCTGAACTCAATCATTACATCATTGATCTGGTTACAGTTGGGCATCTTTTTTTTCTGAAGAAATCAAATACAAATACATTAACATGCATTTAGTCAAAAGCTGGATTATTTTTCTTTCACGATTAAAATGAATTAAGTACATTTACAATAAGCTTGAACCCTAAAAAGCATTACTTGTTTACAGTGGTGAATATTGGTTTTTGCAGGATTGTCAGTTTAGGTATCATTTTACAGAGAAGTGAAATGTTGTGTGTGTGTGGGGAATAGCACTCAAGGATTGTCTTACATCCTGCTTGACCGAGCATTATTCCAGTGCTGCACAATGTTGTATGGGATTGCAAATTATTATCTTTCACTGCACTTGTAGTTTAGACTGGTGTTTTTTTGTTTGTTTTTTGTTTGTTTTATGTTTTTTGTTTGTTTTTTATGTGTTTGTTTGTTTTTTATGTGTGTGTTTGTTTTTTTATGTGTTTGTTTGTTTTTTTATGTGTTTGTTTTTTATGTTTTTGTTGTTGTTTTATGTTTGTCTTGTTTTGTTTGTAGGTTGTTTGTTTTTTTGTTTGTTTTTTGCTATTGTGTTTTTGTTATTGTTTTTTTGTTTGTTCTTTGTTTGTTCTTTGTTTTTTGCTTTCTGTTGTTTGCTTTTTTTTTTTTTGTATGTAATGTGACTAAAATACTATGAATAAGTATTTGGTGTCTGGGATGAAATTTGAATTTGGTAGAATTGGACAATTGTTGATATTTTCTATTAATTAACCTATAGCTTGGGGGGGGGCTAAGCAGCGAATTCATACCTTTCCCAAAGGTATTTACATGTAAGTGAATATAACTGACAGCACCTGGTAGTCTTAAGCAGTCGCCTATTTAGATACTGACCAGTCTTGATATTGCTTAACTTTGCTTTCATATCTTATATGCAAAGTTGTGGTATCTAATGTTTACTCCATAATTATACATCAGTAATTATATTGTAATATTAAATCTGAATAGTGGTGGTGGGTATTAATGCTATCAAATACACTATCTTATTTCATATTGTTGATGGAAATTAACTTAAAGCATCATGTGGCTTGTACTGTATAATTGAGGGAAGCTGTTGAGGTTGTTAAACAAAAACAGTGAAAGGACAGATTGGTGGTTCAAACAATTCTTGGTAAGAAGAATGTTACATAAATTCTCTTCATGATAAATCCCTTTTCATAAATTAACTCTACTGAAGAAAACTGAACATCTGGGGATTTGGAGATATACCTGCAGTTGAATTAGTAAAGTGACAATCATTGAAATTACAACCTCCATACAGACCAACACTCTCCCCCCAACTTAGTCTTGTGACCTGTCAGTTCAGAGGCACCTCCAGATATCAGTCTTCTGTTAGTAGGGAGATTGTATCTATCATTGACTTGCTAGTCTTGTTGCATAGCTTACAACACCTGGTATTTCTCGGAAGTCACTCAACTAAGTACTGACGAACTTCGGTGATTAAACAAAATAACCAGTGTTCCAATATGATATAGCAGCAACCAACAAATTCAATGTAATATGGCCGTAACCAACAGACTGATAAATTGGTACAGTCATCTTTGGGTGGAGTCCATTTTGTTTTTTATCTATATTGTCACTATATTCGTTCCACTTATTTTTTTTAACAACCTGTTCATATGTACAATAGTTATCAGCACAGAATAAATATGCAGCAAATTGAGTTCAAATTCCAGCAAAGGCTATTTGTATTCAGTTTGTGCTAGTGCATGTAGGAAAAATATGGATACCTTGAAAATATCTCATCATGAGCATGATACAATAGTTGATAGAAAAGAGTTGGATCCACTAACATTACCTGCCCAAGAAGTTGCAGCAAAAAAATCTGTTCTATTCATTGTCAACATTGACTGGAGCCAGTTGTATGTATATTTACCTGAAATCAAGAGTTACTTTCACATAGCCAATAGAAGTTCTGAATAGAAATCTCAGCAATTATCAAATGCTTGCAAGAATATCAGTTTTAATACATGGTTGTCAGATTATTGACTCATTATTTGTATCAGAACAGATTTGAGGACTTCTGGCTTTGGGTCCAAATAGCAGTCTTGGTGATGGTGACCCTGAATGTGGTTTATTTTTAGCACTATCACCAGAATGAGTCAACATTGTTATGAGTTTTTAACTAGTGTATATTAGAATTGGATAAGCTAGTAACGTTCTAACTGTCCTGGATCAGTTGCCATGTAATTTACACACAGTTTTGGGTCAGTTGCCATGCCCTAGCAGTCTTGGGTTGGTTGACATGTAGTGCACACACAGTCTTGGCCCGGTCGCCATGCCCTAGCAGTCTTGGCCCGGTCGCCATGCCCTAGCAGTCTTGCCCTAGCAGTCTTGGCCATGCCTAACAGTCGCCATGCAGTCCCTCGCCATGCCCTAAGCAGTCTTGGCCCGGTCTAGCAGTCTTGGCCGGTCGCCATGCCCGCAGTCATGCCCCTAGCAGTCTTGGCCCGGTCGCCATGTTAAGCCCCTAGCAGTCTTGGCCCGGTCGCCATGCCCTAGCAGTCTTGGCCCGGTCGCCATGCCCTAGCAGTCTTGGCCCGGTCGCCATGCCCTAGCAGTCTTGGCCCGGTCGCCATGTAGTGCACACTCCTTTTTACTCTGATTAATCTGTGATTGTCAGATTAAGCAACATTAAAATATCAACTCATTGGATGCACCAAAATCTAATTTGGGCATCTAAATGTTACCTAGAAATACTTTTTATTTAGACATGAGTATGTGGTCAAGTAGTTAGAATGTCCTGACTGTGAAACCCAGTTTCAACTTTCACCATGGTCAATTATAATATCAGCCTTGGGAGATGATTCCAGTGTATGGCTGAAAGCCATATCACAGGTTAACCCAAGCTTTGGGAGTTAAATTAGGTACATGAAATTATTCAGAAGCCATCAATGGTTGTCCTTGCACAAAATCACAAGTCATCATGACTGAGGGTTTGAGTGTATTGGCTGTCTTCTAAATGGTGATTATGCCAGGTTATGTGCTCTCTCCCAGAAACTTTAACTAAGGTCTGCTCAGTATAGTTGCAGTATAAAGTATAGGTTGGTTCTGTGGGTGTTGAAAACAAATGTGCCTGAGCAGGTGTCTGCAAAAGGGGTTAGTTAGCCACTCTAGCAGTTAGGCATACTCGGAAACAAGCAGACAGTCATACAATGTTGAGATATATTTCTGTCATACATAGTTTAGTATACTGCATTGCAAGTATTTTTATATTGTTTGAATTCCTTTTTTTTTTTTTTTTTCCATTCCAAGCAAGGCAATAAAACCACTAAGATGCAAGGGTTACTAAGTATTAGAGAATGAGAAAAAATACTATTAAGAAAAGAGAACATTAAAAGAACAAGAATTAAAAATATAACTATTGACATAGCATTTAAATTTTTGAAGGTCAAACAAGACTGGAAAGCA